TGTAAGCTCATATCTAAGTCATATATATTATGTACAGTATAATGTTGCGGTTCGTCTGTGGAATCTTACATACAGTGAGAGTACAGGGTGCAAACTGTGTCCCAAGATAAGAGCGGTGTCTGTTGGACGTGTGTGGTTCGCTGTTTATGTGCATGGCTCAGTTCCAGATCTTGAGGAAGCTGTCCCAGGACCCGGTGCACACCGCCATGCCATCATCCGTCACGCCCAGACAGCTCACGCGATTGTCATGGCCTGCCAGGACTCCTGTGGGAGGGCCGAAAAAAACCCAAAAGCCAACTTGTCATTGTGCAATGCACTTCTTCAAAAATCAAACAGTGAGCATACTGTTAACTTAAGATTGATGCTACGGTTTGTATCCCCCTGTTTCTTAAGTGTGCAGACATAAAGATATTTTTTTTTTAAAAGGAATCTTTAAAATCTAAATGTGACCTCATTTTTATCTATTTATTTTTGATGCAATCAGCGGCCAAACAGACTCACGATGTTCTTTCTACGATGGAAACTAATCATTGTTTGAAAAGTTTGTCCCAACACTTGTCCTAAAATTCCCGCTACTGTAATGACTGTGCTGCTCTTCCATCACTGAAGTTACTTTCAATTCTTTTTATGCTTTCATATCTTTTTTTTGTCTGTGGTAGGATGAACTTCTGATCCACCAGCATGTGTGCGCCATACGGATGATCTGATATCAGATCGTGTGCAGTATACACTCTAGATCTGCTTCCTGCAATATATATCGCTACTTCCCGAAGTAAATAATTATACTTCCTGTGGTACAGTACTGTCCTAATAATGCCTTGACCTTGTAGTAATACAGATAAAAGGGCCTCTGAAGGACTTGTTTCTATTAATTTTCAAAGCTTAAGTTAAGTTTAGCCATTTCTGAATCTGTGAAAAAGGCATAATTTTCACTTATTTAAACGATTTAAGGTTATTCTCTGCTTTTGATCTTCTTAAATGTGTTTTGATTAGCAGTACACAGTAGTACACATGACACATCTTGTATAAAATACTTTAGTTGCTGACCTGGCAACAGAGAAAAATGAGAAGTAAAATCGTGATTGTTTCCATAGACGCATGCAAAAATAAAAAGTCGTGACCAGAGTTATTACAGTTTAGCATTTTAGAATTAGTTTTTATTGTTATTTCATTTTGAGTTTTTGTTTTTTATTCAGTTTAGTTTGTTAGTTTCATGGGGGGATTTTTGTGTTTGGTTTTATTGTTTGAAAATGTTTTGTTTTAGTTTAGTTCTTTTTGTTTTAGGGTCCTTTTTAATTACTATTGTAGGGAGGACATATGTCAGAGGTAAAACCAGTAATGTTTTTTTACATGTAGTTTTAGTTTTAGTTGAATTTTAGTTAGCTATAATAACTTTGATCTTGATACATGGCATGCAGCTTAATTTCCTCAAAAACAAACAAACCCCAAAACACAAATTGCATTTTTTTGCAACGACAAGGCAGTTTTAGTCGCACTATATTTTTTATTCAGATTGTGTTTTCTATGTTTTTGATTGAACTCTTACAGCTGAAGCTCAGATAGGAGTTTGGTGGAAAGAGGCTCTAACCAGAAAAAATAAAAATTACAACCAATTTGTTGTTTCTGTCTTTTAAATCATTGTTATCAGCAGTACTTGAATACCAAGCTCCCCTCTCATTTAAACTGAACATTGTATAAACCTATTTGTTGTTTCAGGCATCAGAAAACTGCACACCTACATACAATCATCCCTCTGCAGTGCAAAAATGAATCACTAAACTAAGCTTTTATTTTAGCGGCGAAAAATCAAAAGAAGGAATACTACAAAAAACACGTGTGGTGTAATTGATAGATAATCACTTAGCTTGAAGATGAACCTTCCCTTTTCTCTGTCCTCTCGCTTGCTCCACCCACCTGCTCTGTCTCCTTTCATAGCATCCCATATGTTGCAGTTGAAGTCGTCATAACCAGCCAGCAGCAAGCGCCCGGAGCGGGAGAAAGCCACAGAGGTGATGCCACAGATGATGTTGTCATGGCAGTAGAGGCCTAGCTCCTGGTCTGCGCGGAGGTCAAACAGCCTGCAGGTGGCATCGTCAGAGCCTGTGGCAAAGGCGCTGCCATTGGGAAAGAACTGGGGAGGAGAAAGTGAGGATGAGTCTTTTATTTATTATTTCTTTATTTATATTTTTAATTATAAATAAATATAGTTACAACATAAGCTGCTACAGAGAGTTCCTGCCTTTCTCAAATCCCTTAATAAGACAGAAAACTGAATGCGATCAGTGCTTTAACACCAAATCTGTCCACCTGCCACACTGTCAGATGGCCTGTGCCATCAACCCAGACTCCCAACCGGAGATCGTCTCCTGAGATGATCAGGATGTTCAGATATGGTGTTAATTGATAATCTTGTTAATCCTGCAGCGCGCTTCCCATTTAAATCCCTCCCAAAGCTGGTGGCTGGAGACAGTGTGTGACGTCACCAAGACAAATCCTGGAGCTGATGCTGCTGATGACGTGTTAGACAGTACGCAGGAGCGCCAGAGTGCCACTTAAGGCCACAGATTAGCTTATAACAGTGCCAGGAATTCAGAAACTCATGTGTCTGAGAATAAACGTCTAAAATGGTGTCTCAAGCATACCAACTCCATCCAGTTTCTTTAATCCATGATGTGGGATTAAAGAAAAAGCCTACATGTTATGCTCCTGCTGACCTTGTGTGTGTTGTGGGGGTTTCTCATCCTCACACCTTAAACCCTGATTTTGAATGTAGTAAATTGGAATAAAAGTCCTGTTGTCTTTTAAAACTCTAAACTGCATTTTAAGATGCTGCTTTTGAGCGACCTTCCAATACTACATTTCCCACAATGCAACTCGAAAGCATCTTTCATCTTTCATTAGGTCTCCTCTGCCTGTCACATCAGTGATGCAGCTTCATAAAAACTCCACGGCCAGAGCACTCCTCCGAAACAAGAGCTCTAAACTGCACTTGTAAAATATATAATCCGCGATTTCAAGAAGAATAAAAGCAGTTGGGCCTACAAGGGCACCCGGTCCCTGAGGACACTCACACAGACAGCGTTGATGTCCGATTCGTGGCCCGTGAAGGTCTGCCGGCACATGCTGTCCCTGATGTCCCACAGTTTGATTGAAGCGTCGCAGGCTCCCGACACGAAGGTGTGCTGGTCGGGCGAAAGGGACAGACTCATGACATCACCGGTGTGGCCCGAGAAAACTGTGGTCTGCTGACTCGTCTCGATATCCCACAGTGCACTGGGCAAGAAAAGCAACGACAACAACAACAACAACAAAAAAAAAGCACAGGGTTAGTGATTGGAAAACAGGAAAACGATGCTTAGGCTGCACATGTGTGTGTTGATCTGTGTGACTCACCATGTGGTGTCTCCTGAGCTCGTGATGATTTGATTGTCATCAATGAAACGGCAACATGACAGGTAACCTGAGAGAACGGAACGCACAAACACGCGGATGATGTCAGTGACACTTGATGACGCATTTTACATTACATTACTACTGTATAGGAGAAGAATGTAAAAAGTAAATATGACCATAAATTTATTGTGAGTGTACATAGAGAGCTACATGTTGTCTCTGCTCCACTAAAACTACTCATTCGTTTAGATATTTTATGATATATCTTGTTGACATATTTTACATGATTACTACTTTAAAGCCTTCTTTTTCAAGCGTCTTTTTGGGATCATTTTTTTAATTTCTTTAAAGCTGCAATGATAGATGGATTGACACATCAGCAAAGTTTGCAGATGACCAGGATTTTGGAGCCATTGGAGACCTTTGACCTTACTTATAGTATAGGTATTCAATTATTATTTTTAAAATATTGGAGTATTGGCCTTCCCAAAATCTCGATCTAAACCTTTGTGGACTATGTTTTTTGTTTTTTTTTTAATTAGTCCTTTATTTATCCAGGTAAAAATCTCATTGAGATTAAAAAATCTAATTTTCAAGAGAGACCTGTATCACATAAGTACAAAACATTCAAAACAAATACAATATCCTGCACAAACATTTGAAAAATATGCAATAACAGATCATTTAAGAGTGAAGGAAAAACCTCCAGTTTAAATGAACTTTACCAATTCTGCCAAGGAGAGTGCTAAAATATCCGGGCAGAATTATGCCAGAAGCTTGTTGGTGGCTACAAAAAGCGTCTGGCCGAGTTGTAACTTGCTAAAAGACATTTAACCAAATATTAGCAAGTGGTGTTGTGTACACTGGATTATAGAAACCCCAAAATAAAATCAAAGTTTTGCACTCAATTCTTATTTTTAAGTCATTAAAAATGTCTGCTGTAAAAAAAAA